AGAAGAAGTTAGCTTCTGGGCCAGGAAGAAAGATTCTCAGCATCTTCAAACAACAGGTTGGCTGGTTCAAGGAGGAAGAACAGAGATTCTTCTGGTATCTCAAGGTCACCAGAAGAATCCTTATGGTGGAACAGATGGCGAGGATGACCGTATCTCAAGGCCAATTCATGGGAAAGACTCCCTGGAGGGGGGGAAGGAGGGGGAGAGAACAGCCCACCCGAGCTGCCTCCTTGCGGGATACAGCCCACTCCAAGGGATGCTCTTATCTCCTCTCACAAAGCTTCTGCCTGGTTGGCAAAGAAGACACTTCCCCGTCCTGCCCGGCCTGGACTTTTAAACCTGGGCTCCAAAATTCAGGAGCCCTCCCTCCCTCCCTCCCTCCCTCTTTCATCTCTCTCTCTCTCTCCCCCCCCCAAACGGCCGTAACTGACCTCCTCCATATTTCTCAGAAAGATCAACAATGTGTTGGATGAGGCTGTTCTCAAAATATTCCAGCTAGTCGAAGAGAGGCTTGTTTGAGAGGAATGGGATGGGATGGGATGGGATAGAAAATAGGGGGATGGGATGGGATGGAGTAGAGTAGAATAGAATAGCAATTAGGAAGAGAACAGAATAGAATAGAAAATAGGGGGATGGGATGGGACATAGAACGGAAAGGAATGGAATGGAACCCTTTCTGCCTTGGTACAGTTTCTCTTCATGGCGGCAACAACCACAACCACAAGCACAAGAAGCCTCCGTTACCTTGTGTGTGAAAGGCCAGGGCAGCAGGGCGTCATAGTCCCCTTTGAGAAGCAGGATGAAGAGCGAGATGTGGGTCCCCCTGCCTCGGCCTTCTCCATTCAGGTAGATCCTCATGCACAGTTTGTAACCATATCGGGAAGTGTAAAACGCTGAAAAGAAGAGAACCTGGAGGTTCAGAAGCCACTTTATAGGGGGTTGGGAAGGGGAGGGTGGGGCATGTTTTTTCAGCCCCCAATAAAGGCTCAGACCAGGCGAGCAGCAGAAAGAAGCGGCAGGCGGCCCAAAGTCCTCTTGGCTTTCCCAGCCTGCCTGGTCCTAAGACTGACCCCCCTTCCGAGCCCTCCCCCCCCATTCTCCGACCTGGTGCCCTCCAGGTGCAGGGGATGGTGGGGCTCCCATCCAAGAGCTCAGCCCCTTCGAGGGGAGGGAGGGGCTGCCTGGGGGGCCAGGGGGGGCTCACCCGGTGACTGGAAGCCCTGGCTCTTCCCACAGATGGCCTCGTAGCATTTCTGGTGGACGTCGGTGATTTTCCAAAGGAAGACGCCGTCGTAAGACGCCTGCTTGGACGCTCCGAGTCGCTTCCCCAGCCGGAGGAGAGCGGCGTCCTTCTGTGCCAGGCATCGCTGGAGATCCGCCAACTTGGAGGGGAGAGAAAAATTCGGGTTAGGTGGGAGTTCCAGCAATGTGGTCATAAAGTGAAGCCAGTGCATGGCCAGACCTAGTTTCTAGGATCATTTTTTACCGCCCGTCACAAGGTGAATCGCCACAATTGTTAAGCAAATCTGGCTTCTCAGATGGACTTTTGTGTGTCAGAAGGTTGTTGCAAATTGTGATGACGGGACCACAAGACACGGCAACCCCTGTAAATGCAAGCCAGTTGGGATCACCTGACCATGGGAAGGTGCAAAAGGATGGGTCATAGGTCAACCTTTTCCCAAGGTTGTGGTAAACTTTGAGCCATTGTTAAACAAACGGTCGTAAGTCAGAGACTTATGGCAGGATTCCTCCATTCAGCTAGCATAGAATAACAGAGTTGGAAGGGACCTTGGAGGTCTTCTAGTCCAACCCCCTGCTTAGGCAGGAAACCCTCTACCATTTCAGACAAATAGTTGTCCAAGCTCTTTTTAAAGATTTCCAGTGTTGCAGCATTTACAACTTCTGGTGGCAAGTTGTTCCACTGATCAATTGTCCTCCCTGTCAGGAAATTCCTCCTTCGTTCTGGGTTGCTTCTCTCCTTGGTCAGTTTCCATCCGTTGCTTCTTGTCCTGCCTTCTGGGGCTTTGGAGGAGAATAGGCTGACTCCCCTCTTCTTTGGGGCAGCCCCTCAAATATTGGGAGACTGCTATCATGTCTCCCCTAGTCCTTCTTTTCATTAGACTAGACACAACCGATTCCCGCAACCGTTATTGGTATGTTTCGGCCTCCAGTCCCCTAATCATCTTCGTGGCTCTTCTCTGCACTCTTTTCTAGAGTCTCAGCATCTTTTTTACATCCTGGCGACCAAAACTGGACACAATATTCCAAGTGTGGCCTCCCCAAGGCCTTATAAAGGGGCACGAACACTTCACGTGATCTTGACTCTGTCCCTCTGATGATGCAGCCTAGAACTGCGTTGGCTTTTCTTGGCAGCCGCTGCACACGGCTGGCTCATGTGTAAATGGTTGTCCACTAGGACTCCGAGATCCCTCCCACAGTTACTCCTATTCCTGTACCTGTGCACTTGGTTTTTCTTGCCTAAAGGTAGAACCTTACTTTAACTTAGCTGAGCTCTAACATCCTTTCTTTGGCTTAGCAAGCTCACCAACCTTCTCAATCGGGGCTTATAGCTTATAGTCTCGGGTCCAAAACCCATGGCTATCACCGCGAAACAATATATTGCTGCTCGCTGTGGTGGACAATCCTCCTGCCCGATGTGAAAGACCAAGTCTACATGTGAAGGTCCAATGAGTTGTTATTGCTCAACAACATATGCATTAGGAATCTTCTCGACTAATGGTTAGTAGCTGCTTGGAGTTAAACAAGGGTCAACAGAATTCAAGGAGTTCTAGACTTAGTTCATTTGTGACGACGCAGGGATTCTAGGCTGATCCCTCTTTTGACTCTGCCCCCCAGGTTCTGCTGCTCCTTCCCCACTGGCTTACCTTCAGTTCTAAGCCACGAATCATATCTTGGTCAAGGCCCCTCTGTCCGCGGAAGGCCAGGATTTTCTGCCGAGATGTAGCCATCTCCTTGCTCAGCACAGACGTGATGTTCTCAAAGACTTGCAGCTTGGTCTCCAGCCAGGAGACCCTCTTCACTCTTCTCAAGAGGGTGACCCAGCTCACCTCCCCCTCCCCCACCGGTGATGCAGAGAAGGACCTTTCTCCCCCGGGATCCTGAATCTTCAAGGTGAGAGGAGACTTCGTCCAAAGCTTGGCGTCTATCAAAGGTGAGTTGGACAGGCTGCCTCTTGGGGACGAATTGCCCTTCAGGTGTTTGACGTACTGGAGCAGCAGCAACAGGTGTCTTCCTGCAGCATTCTTCTCATGAACAGTTTGATCTCCTGCGTTGCCCTATTGGGAAGAAACATGGTGCCCTTGACAGGAGAAGGACCCAGTGTCAACTCGTAAATCATTCCTATGCCTGTTTTCGAGTTGCCATAAGAAGGGAGTGGGGAAAGGCCTGAGGGAGCAGTGCAGCAGATGAAGGCCAGAAGCACATTCCACGCTTATCTTGTGGAGGTTGTAGCCTCGGCTACTGGATCTTCTGCCTGGGAAAATCCTTCATTGGAGAATGTGATTGATGACACCCAGCCCGTGAATGTGTTTGGTTGGAGAATCTGATTTATGACACACCAGGGGGCTGGAGGGAAACAGGGTCATAGGGGATAGTAAATTATATGTCTCAGAGTGGGCTTCATACCGGTTAGTGCCGGACATGTTGCTCCTAACAGTTCTTTTGTATACTTTTGAAGTTTGGCTCGAGGCTCATGATTTAATTAGGGCAATCGTTGGAACCCTGACACTCAGTGCTTTGGTCCTGTTTGGCAAGTCTCAGCCTGGCATCCATCAAGGGCACCAGCTGGAGTGTCCACACCTTGACAGAGCTACTGGTGCTCACAGCCCACCAGCCCTACCTTGAATAAGCATCCAATCCTGGAAAATCGGCAACCTTCATCCCTGGGGCCAAGACCTGAAGGATTCTGTTCAGGAAAGGATGGGCAAAAATGGAAGGAAAGATGAGCGAGGTAGGTAGATGGTGAGAGAAGGAAGGGGAGGGATGGATGGATGATAGACAACAGATGACAGACAGACACAGAGATAGAAGCTTGTAAAACAGAAATGTAAAGGTATGCAATTGAATACAGAAAACCAGACAAATTTAATGGCAGGACCTGATGTTCATTCCTCGAGGTCTCAGGATTATTGCCAGCATTCACATCCATCAACATCTGGCACACTGCTGCCTGGCCATAATTGACCAGGACGTATTCACACATACGGCGATGATCCTGCAAGATACGTTTTGCAAAAAAAAATTACCCCCAGAGAAAAGGAATTTGATTTTTATAGGAATTTAAGAGCATCTGCGAGGAAGGGGAGGTAAAACAAACATGTACATAAAAAGAATCCTTCCATCCTTCCGAGATCAGTAAAATGAGGACCCAGATTGTTGGGAGCAATAGGATGACTCTGTAAACTGCTTAGAGCGGGCTATAAAGCACTGGGAGGTGGTATATATATATATATATATATAAGTCAAAGTGATCCAACTGGTTGTCCCAAAGGTTCTTTTTTGACCTTGTTTTTCCAGTTGCCTTTTGAAAAAAGCACCTTTGGGACATGATCTGCATGATTGGGAATCTCCATGGACAGATCCAACTGGCTCATCTCCCAGATCCATTCCATTCTTCCTCAGCACGCAATAGCCAGTCCCCAGCCAATAGGTCTTCTCCCTTACTTCCAAATTGCTCAGTGGACCCCTCCAGATGCATCCTGGTATCCCACAATGCACAACGAATTCTGGAATCTCCTTGTTAAGGGTGGCCTTGCTAGGACTCTGGAAGCAAACAAGGACACACATCAAATGTCAGCGTGCTGAACAATACCACGATTTCTGTAGCTATAGTATGTTGAGTTAAAAACACGAGTAGGCAGGGTCACAAAACTGGTGAGGTTATAAACCTGGGCTAATGAGCTACAAGGGCTGGAATTGCACATCTTCAGGCCATAACCATGGTTTGCAAGATGGGGGCTGAAATGAAGTGGACACAGCTTTACCGTAAAGCCTACAAACTTGAAATTTGGCACCGATGTTCCTCTTGGCTTCTAGGGGCTCACTAAGAAAGGATTTTTCGAAATGACCATCAGAGCATTTAGAGTATTTCCTATATTATTATTATTATGAACGCGCTCTGATGCTAAGAGGTTCTACTCTCCCTTCCCACCTGAGAAGAAATCTCTTCCAAATGCAAAACACAAGCAGAGGAGTTTCAGTTTCACAGCAGCACCAAGCAGCTTTTAGTACAGAACAGATGAGCACATAACGGAACCATTGTGAAGTTCAATGGAAAGGATGTACCTTTTTTTCAGGTAGTAAATTGTCTTCCCCAGTAAGTTTGGAATCTTCTTCTTTACAACCCTGGCAAATGGGGTTGCTATTATTTCTGAGCGAACAGGAAAGAAAAAGGAAAAGGAAAGTGGCTCCCATGAGATTCAAATTGGATTCTTCCCAAGGACAATTGAAAAGAGCCATTTTAGTTATGTAGGAAGATTACAGATTACAGATTAACAGAGTTGGAAGGGACCTTGTAGGTCATCTAGTCCAACCCTCCTCTGCCCTACACCATTTCTGACAGCTGGCAGTCCAGTCTCTTCTTGAAAGCTTCCAGGAAATGAAGCTCCAACAACTTCTGAAGGCAACTTCTGTCCCATTTGGTTGATTGTCCTCACTGTCAGAAAATTCCTCCTTATTTCAAGAATCATGTCAGATGCTCCATCTTTTCTATCCTGCTCCGCAGAGGGGAGAGTTGGTCTCAGACAGAAAGCCACTTGAGGAGGTTAGAAACATTTGAAATGTGGATTTACAGGCAGATGCTACATATATGTTGGGTTGACAAAATCAGAAAGGAGGAGGCGATAAGCCGCCTGGGAAAGCCAAGGGAAATCAGCAAAAACATTAAAAAAAAGCAAAAGTTAGAATATTTTGGACATGTGTGATGCTGAAAATATGGAAAAACACGGCATCCTTCATTTAATCCTCCAGGGAAAGATTGAAGGCAATGAAGATCCAAGGAGAAGAAGAACATCAGGGCTTCCAAATCTCTAAGGGACCGATTTGGACAAAACTCAGCAGCCCTTTTTGTGCGGCTGTTGATAAAAACAGGATCGCCAACACCCGATGACAGATATGGCACAAGAAGGAAGAATCATAAGATCCTCCCCCCGCTCTTTATTCCCCTGCCCCCAATCCCTGCCACCCAGCCAGAATGGCCTGAAGGAACCCCAGTTAGAAGGCGGAGGCCGGCTGAAGGGACAGGATTAAGAATTAAGTCAGAAAACACAAAGTCACCCAGAATTCACATTCCCCACACCTAAGCAGGGGTCGGACTAGAAGACCTCCAAGGTAACTTCCAACTCTGTAATTCTATTCTATTTCTATTTCTATTATTTCTATTCCTATTCCTATTCTAATGGAGACCTTTCTTGCAGCTTCCCTCCAAATTCATTGGCTCCTTTCTGGGGAAATGCCAGAAAGTTGGAGACGTGGAGCCAATGTTAAGCATTTCCATGGCTCAAAAAAACAGAGCAGTTGAGAAGTCTTAAGGGATACTTTTTTTTTTTTTGCTAAAATGGCCTTCCCACAATGGTGGAAAAACAGACAGTGCTTTGGACAAGGATGGGAGGTTTGAAACACAACAGGGTTTGTTTTAGTTCACCAAGAAAGCCTGTTTTGTTTTGTTTTCCTATCCTTGCTTTAATCTAGTTTAATCCACTCGACGGGGGTTGCTATGAGATTAAAGCAGAGAGGGAGCAATAAGAATCATGTAATCACGTAGTACTCATTTCTCTGACGTGTGCAAAAACCAAAACAAGATACCGTTTAGCCTTTCCAAAGCCATCCTAAAGTTTTTCCGGGTTTGAGTGCAAGTTAAATGGGGGGATTGATAAGATACTGTAGTCCTGGCACAGAACCAAGAGGAGAATGTGGAAATATTTTAGTGCAGATTTGAACTTGGCAACTGATGCATGTGTTGGGGGTTTTCTGAGGGTCCTTCTCAAATCTCTCCTCCAATTTTTAGAAAACTTCTAGGACAATCACAGGAGGACCAATCTGCCTTGCTTCTGGGTTCTGTTGGCCACCATATGTCCAGCCAGTCAGGATAGAGGCTAGGACCAATTTGAAGGCTTCTGGGTAGCAATTCTACGGTTCTTCCCTACCTCAGCTCAAGAGCAAGAAAAACGACAAGCGGGCTGGAGGCTAAAATATATGAAGAACGGTTGCAGGGACTGGGTATGTCTAGTCTAGTGAAAAGAAGGACTAGGGGTGACCTCATAGCAATCTCCCAATATTTCAGGGGCTGCCACAAAAAATAGGGGGTCAAATTATTCTCCAAAGCACCTAAAGTCAAGACAAGAAGCAATAAGGATGGAAACTCATCAAGGAGAGAAGCAACCTAGAACTAAGGAGAAATTTCCAGACAATGAGAACAATTTAATCAGTCGAAAAACTTGTCTGCAGAAGTTGTGGGTGCTCCGATCAGTGGAGGCTTGCAAGAAGAGTCTTGGACAGCCGTTTGTCCGGGATGGTATAAGCCAGGTCTCCTGCTTGTGCAGGGAGCTGGACTAGAAGACCTCCAAGGTGGAATAGAATAGAATCAGAGAGCTGGGAGGGATTATTTCCTCGTCCAACTCTGTTATTCTGGTGTTCTACTTAAGGGGAGCACGCCATCGGGTCCAGCCCAAGGCTGCTTAGTCCAACCCCTCTGATCCTTCCCATTCTATTACTCTGCTGATTTCTCCCTCCTGACCTCCTAGCCCACCTTGGTTTCCCTCCCTGTGGTCTAGCAGGTGGAGAGTAAGGGGAGGGGACCCTTCTCCATCCAAACAGAGGCAGAGGGGCAGGATGGGTGTCTGTAAGATTCAGTTGCTCTTGCAGGGGGCAGAACAGCTGTCAGGACTGGCAGTTCTCAGCTGGCAGGTGCTGCTGTCAGTCAGTCTCCATCTTTTGGACAGGATGAGCCTGCCAGGCAGGTCAGTGAATGGCCTCGCTCCCTTCCTCCCTTCCTGATTCTCTCCTTCCTTTTTTGACCCCCCTCTGTGCCTCCCCCCCCTGTATCTCCCCCCCCCCCCCCCCCCCTCCTCCCCCCCTCCCCCTGACTGCCATCTCCTTCCCCCCATACCTCTCTGCCCCCCCCCCCCACTTCATCACGTGTCTCCCTCCCTCTTGCAGAAGAGACTCACGGTAGCGCCCAGGTTAGGCAGGCTGGGTAACAGGGGTTCCGGCAGAGGTTTTGCAGTCCGTCCTGGGGGAGAACCGCGCTGTGGCTGCCGAGGTCTTTCGTCCCCCCGGCATTGGCACAGATGCGAAGCGGGGAGCCCTGCTTGGCTTCATCCAGAGAGGAGAAGGCTGCGGCGGGAGGACCACAGCTGCTGCTGCTGTTGCTGCTTCTCTGCCTGCCTGCCATCCACAGCAGCAGCTCCTGCGAGGAGAGAGAGAGAGAGAGAAAGAGGGGGCCTCACCGCACTGCCGGCGATGCTCAGGAAGAGACCCCTCCCCAGGCAGCGAGGTGTCTCTCTCTCTCTCTCTGGCCTGCTGGGGTGACTTGAAAGCCAGCAAGATCTCAATCCTCCCAAGGATGCTGGGTTGGGCTGAAAGGGAGCCACAGCACAAAGGTTTGAGGCAGCCGTGACAGGAAGTTACAGAGCCAGCCTTTGAATTCCCCCGAAAACACAGCATCGCAGGGCAGAGGGCAGGAAAGACAAGCCAGCCTGAGTCAAAGGAGGCCACCGAAGGTCCAGGGAAAACCAGCACAAGAGATTCCTCCCCGCTGGATAGGGAGGAGGCGGGGGGGGGGGTTAGGCTTTTAAAAGGAGGAGATAAGAAGGCAGGATTTTTGCCCTCTTTCCAAGCCACCTTTACAGGTAATCAAGAGCTGGTTCAGCGACCAATGGTACCACCATGCTGGAGAAAGTGACTCAGGGGCTGTTTTTCACCCTTCTGGCCGTTGCAGCGTCCCTGTGGTCAGGTGATCAAAATCCAGACGCTTGGCAATTGGCATGTACTTATGACGGTTGTGCTGTCCCGGAGCGCCTCGTGATCCCCTTTTGCGACCTTCAGACAAGCCAAGTCAATGGGGAAGCCAGATTCGCCCTGTTACTAGTTTCACAACCACAGCGAGTTACTAACTGCGGCAAGAAAGGTCGTAAAATAGTCAAAAAACTCACTGAATTGCCTCCCTTAGCAACAGAAAGGTTGGGCTGAGTTGTGGTCATAAATTGAGGACTGCCTGTGTAAATGAATAATGCCCAGATGTGGGCGTACAAATTCAAATTTGGGGAAGGGTCTTTTGGGGAGGTGGGAGGCGGTGTCTCAGGGGCTAAGATGCTGAGCTTGTTGATCAGAAAGGTTGGTAGTTTGGCGGTTCGAATCCCCAGCGCCACGTCATGGAGTGAGCTCCCGTTCCTTGTTCCAGCAGCTTCTGCCAACCTAGCAGTTCGAAAGCATGTAAAAAATGCAAGGAGGAAAATAGGGACCCCTTTGGGGGGAAGGAAACAGTGTTCTGTGCGCCTTCGAAGGCGTTGAGTCCTGCTGGCCACATGACCACAGAGACGTCTTCGGACAGTGCTGGCTCTTCTCTGGCTTTGTAAAGGAGATGAGCAGCGCCCCCCAGAGCCGGAAACGACTAGCACGGACGGACGTGCAAGGAGGGGAACCTTTGCCGCCACCTGGGGAGGCCAGAGACATGCATGACTCCTCATCCTGTGAAAAACAATTCCCCTCTCTCCCCCCCCCGCATGTCTTGGGGAGGGGTCTCTTCTGTTCCCTCTGCTACGTTGAGCCCCAGACTTTAAATCCTACCATTATCTCTACCGTAGCTCTGAGGCTGACCTATTTTCTAGGCACACATGGAGCTTTGGGGGTCCTGAAATGAGCCAGAGAGCTGTTAATAACGATAAAAGCTGGATCAGGTGAAGCGTGTTCTTTTCGCCCCGAGGCTTCGGCGCCTTTGACTTCATTCGCCCCAATGGCTTTCTGAGGGCAGCTGGCAGATAATCCAAGCCAAGCTGTTCGAAGATGGGAGTAGAGATGTTTTGTTTGGCTTGACTGGTCACTAGAATTGCTGGGCTAAATTAGCTCCTAAGAGCTGTTTTCCCTAGGAGGCTCTGCAGACGCCCTCAAGGTTTTTCCTATACGTAACCTGGAAGAAGATCTGTTTAGCTAAATGGTTTACCAACATGTTTTATGTATTCAGTGGGTTTTATCAACTATTCATTGACCAATTCTCCTCCTCCTCCTCCTCCTCCTTCTGCTGTCTATCTTCTCCTTCTCCTTAACTGATGACAATGATGATCTTATCCATTCAGTCATGTCTGAACTTTGGTGATTCTAATGGCCAGATCTGTCTCCACATTTTCCGATCTTGCACTACTTGAGTTTTTCTATGCTCTGGATGGTACCAGCTTTTATGGTATCCAACCACCTTGTTCTTTGGCAACCTGTTTTCCTTTTATGGCTAACTCTTCCTAACATAATTACATTCTCAAGTGAATTCCCCCGCACGACATGGCCAAAATAAGCGAAATACACTTTTGTGATCTTTAGCTCCTTGTCTATCTTCTCCTTCTCCTCCTCCTTTTCTTCATCCTCCTTCTTTATCTTCTCCTCCTCTTTCTCCATCTTCTCCTTCTCCTCCTTCTCCACCACATGTGACTTGAGCATCATTCACCAAGATGCTGCTACTATACAATAACCCACTTCATCCTCATAGCAAAGTAAACATCTCCTTTAAGTAGAGCTTAAACTGTGTGTGATACATCCACACACCTTTCTTGGTCATCGTATGAAAGGTGTTCTACCTTTATCTTCTTCTAGAATATTTTCCAGCTTCTAAGCTAGCCCACTTGCACAGGGTCTCCCATTCCACAACTAAGCCAATCAGTAGCCCAGACAAAGGTGGCATTAGATGAAAAAAAAGAGAGAGCATATTTTATGGTGTCTCTCTTATGCCACGAGAAGCATTGTGGTGGGTACAGACTTTGAAAGCCCCCTGATCTCAGTGTCCTGTTTCCTGCAAGGGCCCCCCAGCTGCCTTTGGGGTTCCCAAACATTAGCAAGAACATAAATGTCCTTATTCTTTATTGCAAACAGCCATTTAAACAAGTCTTCACACCCTCGAACTCCAAATTTATCCTGACCCTTAAGGGAGTGAATCATCTTCCTTCCTTTGCAACATGTGGAACGGCTTTTTATCTTCAGCAAAATAAGCAAATCCCGCTTTCTTGGAGAGACGAGATCCAGGACCAAGGATCCAGGACACCAGGTATACCCTCTCCAAGGCACAGGTGTGCCATCTTGCAAGGGCCTCTGTGGACAAAGCTGTCGTTTGCTGCTTGCTAAGAAAAAGAAGGGCGGGGGGAAGCACAGGTTTTTGCAAAACACCCAGCAATCCAGCAATCTTGCAAACTGTACCGGTCTCCACCTACACACGGCTGCTTTGTAAATCTTTCGGCTGCAGATTGGCTGTCTGAATTAGGGGAATCCGAGGTTTTGAGCTCTGTGTCAGCCACATCCTCTTGGGTTTGGGGGGTGTTTTTAGCCTATTCTCTGCGCCTGCTGAAGGATGGAGCTAGAAGGGATTTACCAGAGGAAATAGGTCAGCTGTGGAAAGTACCGAAAAACTTATTGTTAGTTTCCACTTGCATTTTGAAGCCACAACCCGACACTTCAGAAGTTGCTCCTCTGAATGCAGGGTTGCTGGTCTCTGTGGAAGGGCTGCTGCACAGTCCGTTCTAGGAGATAATTGCATTTGGGTTTTGGCACGGAGAACAGGTGGCTCTAGGCGTCCCGTTGAGCCCAAAACATTTGTTCAATGAGCTTTGGTCCCATTTTACGACTTTGCTGGCCAGCCTGGTGAAGGGAACCGTTGCAAATGTTATGTCGGTCGCATGGTTCTTCAGTGAATCTGACTTCCCCACTGACTCACGTGACCACGGGCCATACGTGGGAACAGTTTGCCAAGCTGTTTTGGGGGGATGCTTCCACGGCTGTGGAGTGTGGAAAAACACCCACTTTGTTCAGGATAGCTTTGAATGGTCACAAAATGAACTGTTGTAAGTCGAGGCGTACCTGTTGTCAGCCTTGGAAGCCATGTTTTTTGGGTTGGAGTTGGCTAGTTGGAACATTGATGCTGTATTTAAAAAAACAACCTGGTATTGTAGATTGTCACACCCACTTTTGTGACTCAAAGAGTTTCTGGCATTGGCTTGCCCTGTTTTGAGGAGGGTTTTTTTCCCCTTTAAAAAAGGAAAAGGAAAAAGGGGGACTTGCAGAAGGGAAAAATCTAGAGCTGGATATTGAAATTAGACATTTATCTCTTCCTCCCCCCCCCCCCTTTCCCCCCCCCCCCCGAAGCAGAAAATGGTCTCGCTATCTTGTGATTTACATCTTTGAGTGAATATAGCGGTTGCGGCGTTGACAATTTTTAACAAATTGTTTTCCTGACCCTTTTTAATGAATGCAACATTTGAGTGATTTATTATATATAAAATTTTACACATACATGTGAACTATGGGTGTTGAGTGATTGATGATGATGATCATTTTTTTAAAATCAGGAGAAAGGGGAGGACCGAAACATTTGTCCTGGATCTTGGGGGAATCTTTCTGTCTCCTGCTCACTTCTGAAATCCCGGTAAGTGTAGCCTGCTGTTTCAAGGAGTCATGAGGTCGTTTGAATGGGCTTTTCTTTTTTGGCGGGTGTGTGTGTGTGTGTGTGTGTGGAGGTTTAAACGGTCAGCCACACAAGAGGTGAGTCGCCTTTTGATGATGATATAAGGCTGGAGGAAGGAGGAAGGCTTAGCAAACTAGCTAGTGAGATGAGTTGAGCTGGAAGAGAGGAACTGGCCCGAAGTCACCCATAGTGGCTTTTGGGGCTAAGGTGAAACTAGAACTCCCAGCCTCCTGGTGATTGGCCCAAAGTCACCCATAGTGGCTTTTGGGGCTAAGGTGAAACTAGAACTCCCAGCCTCCTGGTGATTGGCCCAAAGTCACCCATCATAGTGGCTGAGAAATTCTGGGAGTTGAAGTCCACAAGTCTTTAAGTTTACCAAGTTTGGAGACTTCTGATCCAAAGCATGATCGTATTCCTGTTTGCTTATGATAACCACGGAAGTCCATTAGAAATGGTCTAAATTGCCAGGCTACAGGAAGCCCAAGACCTTTGGCAGGTCTTTTCAAGAATTTAACAACCACTAAGGAAGAGATCATCAACAAATTCTTCCAAGGATTCTCTAAAGGTTTGGCAAGAACCGCAGGCGGTATTTGGGGAGGGCCACCATTCAATCCACGTCAAGTCATCCAAAGGATACTGGTATCTATGGAGAAGAAAAAACAATATTTTTAGAAAGAAAAGCAGGAGATGTCCATGCTGATGGAGGGAATGCAGGTGGATGGTGGGTGTTTTCT